CATTGACCGCATTCGCACCACTTTGAACACTCGGTGTACCAGCAACGCTGCAAGGGTTCCCAGGTGGTGTCATTTGCCTAAGAAGACCTTCGTAACGAGCACTAGGAACGGGTGTACCATGCGTAATAGAGCCGCTTTTGTGACCAGTTGTCCCTATAGCGCTTAATTTAGGAGATAGTTTTGGATGGGGCGGTGGTACGGCAACTTTATTCATTTTAGGTGTGAGGGGTGCTTGTGGTCGCGGCGATGACACGTACACGAGCGGGCTCTTCGCGCCGCGTCCTTGTTCGGGATGAGCGTGAGGATGATAGTAAGCACCGGGAGGTGGTTCTGGCCGATATAGAGTAACCGTCGGAGGTTTGTGAAGCGCTTGCAAGGAATGATTATATTCTTGTTGCTGCCTTGGCTTTTTGATGCTCAAATCGAGCGTGCCCTCGGTGCTCTCTCGAAGTGCTTGTTGCACCTGCATGACGACCAATCCTTCTTTCGGAAGCAAATCCGACGACGAGGATTGACTGCTCGATGCTGACGCTGGACAGGGAGTAATTGTTGCTTGCATTTGACCTGACGAATACAATAGACAATTTTCTCCGAGAAAATGTGAATAATCTGTATGAAGAAATTTTCGTTTCTTCGACTTACCAATTTGTTGCGGACTAGGAGCAGAACGGTGCACGTGATGAGGACTCGATACGACTGATAAAGTTGCCAGATTTGAATCCCTCGGCATAGTAGTGTTCGCCATAGAACCTGACGATTTGTATTCTCGTACAAAAGTAATGTCGTTCCGATGATCCGTTTTTAATATACTAGATATCGTTGGTGTTCCAGAGTTCACGGATACCGACGAACCGCCAGTTCCGGCTGGACTGTTGGGGTTGCGTTTTAACTGCATCTCGATGACACCAAGCATAAGATCTTTAACGGTGAGGGGATTGGAATTGTTTGTAGTTGATGGCGGCGAATGCGATGGCGGTGGGACCTGTTGATGCGGTTGCTGGTGTTGTTGTTGCAGTGGCGTTGAATTATTGGCAGTAGTCAAAGTCACAACAACGCTGCTATTTTCTAAATCGGCACCACCCTGACCTTCGTCCGCCGTCTCCTGAAACAATCACCGAACCTCTATCAGACGGCTCTATCGAGAGACAAACTTCTTTCTTATCGAACAATCACAAAAGAATAAAACAAACTCAAGAGAACCATTCGATCAATGGTTATTACAATCAATGGTCAGAATACTGTTTTATGTTTATTTTGCTTTCCCTTCGAACTTGGTACTGAAAAGAAACTTCGTCTTACCGTGGCAGAACTATCATAATCTTCTCTAGTGCCGCCCGAAGCAGCATTACTACCTCCGCTGGTGGAAGACTGTTGCGATGAACCAAGGCTCACCGGCGGTACTAAAGATACCACAGCGATATCTGATAGTTTCTCGCCAAGCTTTTGATCTGTTGATCGCGAGAAAGATATAGGTAAAGTGGTAGATGCAGGAACACCTGGCGTTCCCGGTGCCCCACTTGTCATATTATTCGCTGGACTGCCTGCGCTGGCTGTGTCGCTTGAATCATGAACCTGAACGCAAAGAAAGAACAGTAGAGTTTACTTATTCAAGACTGGCATGTGTGTAACATTAATAATGGATACGATCGACTCGATAAGAAAGATACACCGTGCGTTTTATGATATAGTCTGATTAACAACTAGCTAGTTCTTTGATAATTACAGCCAGTTCGTCGCAGCTACTTGTACTACTGCCACTCTCTTCTTCGTCTGTCAAGCAAGGTCTTCTCTCCTCGCCCAGAGACTGATAATATTCGGCAACCACTTGATCCAGACTCAGCCTTTTCCGATACGCAAAATAATAGATCTTGCACTGATGGTTTGTCTTTCCTGGTATTTGCTCGGCAACCTTCACCCAATTAGTACCATGCTCTCGCAGAGCTCTTCTAAGCTGTTCCAATTCCTCGTCTGTCCATTGTCGAGCCAAAGAATCTGCTGTGTCCTCTGACACTTCGGTACCTCCAGTAAGGTGAGGCGCTAAACGCCGAGATATTCTGTTGAAGCAAGCCGAGCAACATTTTGTGGCGCTGCTCGGTATTTCTGCAAAAATAGAAACAAATATGGGACCAAGAGACCATTTAACTGTATAAATGTAAGGGTCAGACATTCGTGCGACACTTACGAAATTCTTGTATGATCGGGTCACGAATTTCCGCTGGTAGATCGAGCCACTTTACGGGCAACGCTCGCAGTCGTTTCACTCGCGTTTTCGAGTTGGCGTTGTTCAAATTCGGACAACCCGGCAACGGACACGCCGTGAACCGTCCCCTAACAGCTTTGCACCTGCAGGTATTGCACACGCGCGCCCCGGATGCGATTTGATCCTCTCGCAAACCGTACTGAGATGCTTGGCTCCGCGGCAGAGCTCGACTTTGCGTGTTACCTTCGACGATGCTTTGGCAAACAGCACACTCGTGGGGACCAATCTGTCTGCTTCCTTCTGAAAAATAAAATACAACCATGTTTCATTATCGGCCATTGTAACTCAGAATTGTAACTTCATGTTTTGAACGCATGAATTACTGAAACAATTTTTAGGTTATGGGAGAATTTTGTCAACATTTCTAGTTATCTCAACGTCTAGTGATTTGTTATTTTTAGCTTTTCTAGAGGAAAAGGTGCTAATCCTGTTCTAGTAATTTGTTTTTTAAATGTTTTCTGGGGAAAAACTTTTAACTAAAAATAAAATTTAAACTTTAAATAAAATACAACGTTTTCCTTGTAAACGTGACACCCAAAATGGGTCCAATTTATGGTCCTTTGTACCTACGTGTGACCAAAGCGTCACGCAAGATTATGGAGGGTTAAAAAAGTGTGTTTCTGGTCCTCTGTTCAGCCACGGGATAGAACGATAAAGCGATTTCCCGAAAATACGAGTATTTTTGCATTTTCTTCGACATAAAGTTTGGCAAATATAGTTAATCATGGCGGTGGGCTCCAGAGACGGAACTCGGGAGAAAACATTAGCGCCGTTGGCTGTACAGGGGTGCTGGGTGGGGGGATGAAAAAAGATGGAACGACGGTGGTGGAGAGTCAGCGTACGGAAACGGAGCGAGAAACAGAATAATTACCGAGACTTTGCTGGTTAACTAATTAAGGGTGGCCAATTAAAAAGTTCTCTCGCCCACAGTCGCAAACATTGGCGTAGAGGTAAGAGACATGATAAAATCGCTTTGATGGTTTTACCGCAATGGTGCGCCGGGTGAAAAATTTAAGTTTATTCTCCCGACAATTATCGCGATTCGGGAGGTCATTTGCTGAGTAGTTGGGCCACGTGAAATCGCACGAAAGCAAAAGAAAGGGTTCAAGTATTCGTTGTGGGAACGTTTTAGTGTACGTTCATTACGCAATTATTCTCTTTCGTTCGTCGAAGCAAGCTTCCAGATTCTATACAATCGGTTTGTAAACGTTACATCGACTTTTTAACCTCTGCTTCAAAGAACACCTATGTATTTTTAGGTTAGGTTTCTCTGTTACGATAGACGCACGATATTTGCATTAACCCTTCATAACATATTGCATATCGAGTTTCTCAAACTCCTTTACCTCTAGGGACATTTTTCATCTCACAATGTATTTACGGAACACTTAGATTCTATCTATTTGGGTTTTAAAACGAGAAACGTAACAAATTTTGTGTACGCAAAGCTTATTAACTTTATATTATTAAGAATACAGTATGGGGAAATATTAACACATGTAAGTGTTGTTTCACTAGCGGCCATTGTAACTCAGAAGTTAAAATACACTTCATGTTTTAAATGCATGAATTACTGAAACAATTTTAAGGTTAAGGGAGAATTTCGTCAACATTTCTGTATGCTATCCTAGTGATTTGTTCTTGTTAGCTTTTCTAGAGGAAAAAGTGTTAATCCTGTTCTAGTAATTTGTTATTTAAATGTTTTCTAGGGAGAAACTTTTAACCCTTTGCGATCTGTTCGCCATCTAGTGCTATGATAACGATGCACAAATTGCAGCGTACTCATAATAATAAAGAAGAAAAGCAAACTAAATGGCTGAATGGCTCTCAATGAAGCTTTATGTTTAAGTTTCATATTCTCGTTTCAAGATCTGTTTTGGTCCATGAATAATAGCGTTTTGGTTGTTTAAAATAGCTTAAAGTTTGCATCACGATGAGATAAAGGTTAGAACTTCCAGGGTGCTGGTAATCGCTAATGATTTTAAACATTAGCCGTGAACGATTATTATGGGCAGTCGTTCTATGTCAATAACTTTCGCAACGTGCAATATTAGTGTAATTGCCGTAGATTGTGTAATCGTTCGATGCTTCGCACACTTCACATATTGAACTTGCATGGAACATACGATGGCGTTGGTACTAATCTCTAGAGACCTGTCACACGCTACTCTCGTATCTTTCGAAATGCGGAGAAAATTATTGTTGACGCAGGACTGCCGATGGTATTGGCTACATGTAACCAAGAGACGCAGGAGGGACGATATAACTATGCACGGGTCGAGAGGAAGAATTGTATATCCAACAGTCATATAAACGCCATAGGAGAACATTCGCGACACTGATTGGCAGGTAATCCCCCGGAGCGAGAGAAATTGGTTCGCATAATTTAACTGTTACGTATAATCCTTGGACTGATTTTACGCAACTTTGCTCGAATCGATCGCTTTTAATTGCCACGGATCTCTTTTAAATTAAAATATCATTAAAAATCGCTCGTAACAACAAAATCTCTCTATATACACTTTATTTTTGTTTCTTTCGTTAAACAAATGAGATCGAAACGAATTTTAAATTTTATTCGATAGATCGATACGAGAGAAAATCAATTTCTGACTTCGATGTATCGATTCCATTGTTGATGCTTGTGTACGGCAAAATTAAACTTTTAGGTACATTCATCGAGTCTACGATTATGGCGTCGCCTCCCATGCTCGCCACCAGAGGGCTCGCGCTCTCACAAGCGCTCAACCTTCGGTCCCACGCAAATGGAACAGGCTGTATCTCCTAAACGGTTGACAATAGAAAAATATGTTATAAGTCAAAGTTGAATAGTATCAGACGGTGCGTAATATGCAAGTACTTTTATGCACTTTTATGCATTGGTGCATCAGAGAAATGCAATTGCACCTTTTTTTGAATGGAAACCTACATTTATGCATCAGTCGATGTAGTTTCTTATGCTCTACATAAATTGTTGACTAGGTACCAATAAACTAAAGGGGGCAAGGGCAAGGAGAGAAGACACTACAGGCCCTGACGCCATGCTTAGGGCCTCCATAATCACGAGAGATGTATTTTTGTTCTCTTCATGGGTAGTATTTTGGCAAAGTGGAGCCACAATATCAACAAATACGCCGCCCGGCAGGAAGCAACCGTGAAATCGGGGGAACGAAATTATCTAAAGTACAGCACCGCCAATGCCCGAGGGAGGAAGAACAGGGATTGCTGACATCTCCTCGAAGATATTTTTCCCCGGTATACCGAAGCATTCAAGGCCGCGAAACAAAAGCTGGAATCGTACGAACGGCGTCCAGGGTCTTGTTCAAACGATAAACCGAACGGTGAAAAGAGAGACATTACTGTCGTTAAGGGAGACACTTTGCCTGCGTGCTAATTAAGCTGACTCGGACCGACGGCAGGGGGCACGGAGACTGAATATTTCACAACAGGTATCGCGAGAGAACTCGTTATGGAACACCGTCTTCCTCTCGTTCGAGGGCTCTGAGAAGCAATGTTTATAAATTTTTGTAGAAAAATTTATAAGTTAATTTGAATCGAACTTCTCTGGGAGTGGTAACATCTTCAAATTAAAAAGAATAATTTTCATATGCTGTTTCATTTTATTATTTGTTAATTGACCATGTAACCGTTTATTTTAGATCACAGAAATTCTTGAACAGTATTTTATTTTGAGGATACTGAAAATATTTATGATCTTGTTGTTGGCCAGTGAAATTCCACGAGAAACGTGCAAGACTATGCGTAGATATCGTTTATTTGATAATGGTAATACCGATCGGCGATTCAAACAGCCGTGAACAGCCACCCAAGGGTCAGCTAATGAGTTAAACCAACAGGAGAACGTTATTACGCGCATCCACTTCGTGTAATCCCTTGTCTCCGCATTAATAAAGTATTCCCTTTGATTCTGATCATCCAGTTAGACGCAAGGGCGAACGTCTGTGTTGGTGGCATAGGAAAGAACACATGGTTATTCATTATAGCTGGGAGTTGGACATAGAAAGAGAGCCCCATTACCGTAGCTCGAACCGTGAATTAATCAACTTCGTCTAAGCTTTTTTCAACGACACAAAATACTTAATAAAAATCGTTGCACATACTAAAAAATAACGTTCAAATGTCATAATTTTCTTGAAATGTACCTTAAACCAATACACGAGCTTTTACACTTGCAAAAATGTGTTCCAATAGTCATCTTCATTTTTGTAACCGAGCAATACATTGAACAAACTTACATGAAATACGTAACAGCGTGTTTCTTGTTAATTACAAGAAATTACGTAATATTTTACGTAGAATTTTTAATGGAGAATGTGAAGAAAAACAATGACTTTTATCCCCTAAAAGCAAAGGGATTGATATTGCACGAAACTCTTCGAAAATTAAATTTTAACCCGCAAAGAATGAAAATTGACCAAATATCGCGGTTTTAATAGATTAAAGAGATTTGTAGAATACCGTGCAGGATACGCTGTGTTTTTGTTCATTTTTATAAGCGGACAAACGTTAACGCAGCGCAAATGTTTTACATTCGACGAATAGATCCATTTCACCAGAAAGTATGGGAATTGAAACGAATAACCGGAAGGGTGTTCCTCCTCTTTGCGCAAGCGTTTTTTTACTCGCGTATTTATGAGATTAACGGTCGATTCCAATAAAAATGATTAAACTCAAATATGTACCTCGGTTTTTCGTGGTCCACATATGCTGCACGCGAGACCAAGGAATCGTGATTGTCAAACATGTTATAATAAATGCGTGAAATCAATCATGGCGCGTCGACCAGGCGTGGAGTTCTTTATGTAAATAAATGTAACGTTTCATGTTACATCGATCCGAGTTCTTAACCCTTTGGCTTGCAATATCGAGCTCGTGGTTCTTGTCACCGATCAAATTATCGTAAAATTATGTACCTTCGTTCCTGTATTCTTTTCCTCGATATCGATAGCCGTGTATCGCTGTATTTCATTAGTATCGCTAATTACGCTGCTTCGAGGGACGGCGTATCTGTGAGATACGGAGATTATTAAAATAAAAGATCAACATGACGGTTCCGCGTGTATACACGATCACCGCCTAATTAATTAAATTGAACTGCTCGCGAAATTTATTACGTTTCTTACTCGTCGCAGCGACAAATGGGAAAAGGGTCGAGCAAGCATGGAATCATTGCGGTGGGTGCACTGGTAAACGGATTGAAGTCTGAATACGATCTAGCT